CATGGCCACCTGCAGTTACCTATAGCCCCTAGGACCACCCATGACCACCCATGGCCACCCACAATCACTAGGGTCACCCAAGACCACCCACAGCCACCACTGCCACCCACAGCTTCACACGGCCACCCATGGCCACAAGGGCCACCACAGCCACCCATGGTCACCCGCAGCCACCCATGGCCACGCAGGGCACCTGCAGCCACCCACAGCCACCCGCAGCCCCGGGCGCCGCCAGCCAGGCGTGAAAGTCACGGCCGGGCAGCGGCGGCCCCGTTAGCCATTAACGGGCTGGGAACGGGGAAGCAGCAGGGCGAGGAGGTGGAGGAGGAAGGGGCGCCCACCTGGCTGTAGGGGCTGTGCTTGCCGGCGGGCGCCGCGTAGCGCCCGTGGCTCTGGTACGGGGGGTACTCGGCCGCGGGCTCGTACGAGTCCTTGGCGCTGAAGAGTTTGCCGCGGCTCTTGCGGCGGCAGGAGCAGGTTGTCTGCGCGAGGGCGAGGAGGGTGAGCGCGAAGGCACCGCCACGCAGCAGCCACGGGGACAGGGACAGGGGCACGGGGGACAGGGGGACGCAGGGACACGGGGCCGCGGGGCCGCCGCTCACCATCAGGCAGAAGAGCAGCACGATGAGCAGCACCAGCACGCTGACGAGCACCAGCAGCGCGATGGCCCAAGGCGGCACCGCCGGCTCCGTCCCGCTCCCCTCCGCGGTACCTGCAGCGCCGGGGGATCCCATTGGCACTGCCCCCCCCCGYCGGCTCCGTGCCCCCCCGGTGCCGCCCTCACTCTGGATGTCGCTCAGCTGCAGCCCCATGATGAAGCCGCTGGGGTCCAGGCTGTCGCGCAGCCGCTTCTCGGCGCCGGCGCCGCTCACGGTGTTGCCGTCGTGGCCGAAGACGAGCTCGGCGTGCACCAGCACCGAGCCCTGGCTGCGGGCGGGCGCTGAGCGCGGCCYGGCGCCCGCGGCCCCCGACGTGGCCCCCGGACCCCAGCGCGGCCCTACCTGAACCGCAGGCTGCTGCAGCCCTTGTAGGCGCCGCGGCTGGCGCAGCCCGCGCAGCCGAACACGCTGTCGAGCTGCAAGGGAGCAGGGGGAGCGGGGGACAAGGGAGCAGCGGGACAAGGGAGCAGCGGGACAAGGGAGCAGGAGGGACAAGGGAGCAGGGAGAGTGGGGACAAGGGAGCAGCGGGACAAGGGAGCAGCGGGACAAGGGAGCAGGGGAGGGAACCAAAAGCGTCACAGGGAAACAAGAGTCGGGGGGGAGATAAGAGAGCAGGGAGGGCAAGAGAGCCGGGGTAAGATAAGAAAGCAGAGGGGCAGCCAAAAGAGCAGGGGGTGGCACAGGGGGAACAGCGAAAAGAGCAGCAGGGACAAGAGCAGGGGGCGACAGGAGAGATGGGAGAGAAGAGGGCAGGGGGTGATAAAGGAGAAGGGGAGTTAGAGGAGTGGGGGAGCCCAGCGAGCGGCACGGGCTCGCGGCCCCGGCGCCCCCGGCCTCACCACGGCCAGGACGCTGCGGCTGAGCTCGCCGTACTCGGGCGACGCGGCGTCGAGCAGGCGCGCGCTGAAGTCGCGGTTGAGGACGCGGAAGGCGAGCGGCACGCGGAGCAGCATGTGCAGCGCGGCCGGCGCCGGCGCCGCCGCCTTGCTGGGCTTGGCAGTGCCGCCGCCGCCGGCCAGCACCGCCGTAGTGGCCTTGGCGCCGCCGCTCACCGAGCCCTTGCCCGTGGGCGCCGGGCCGCCGCGGGCGGGCGCCGGGGCCGTCTCGCTGCTGCTCGCCGTGGTGGTGCTGCCGGCGGCCGCGTGGCCGGCGGCACCGGTGCCGTTGGCATGGGGCAGAGAGGTGCCCACGGAGACCGGCACCGTGGTGCCCTTGGCTGTGCCGTTGGCGGTGCCGTTGCCGGAGGGCGGCGACGGCGTCAGCGGCTGCGGCGAGCGGCTGGGCGGCAGCGTGGGGGCCCCCGCGGTGCCGTTGGCGCCCGCGGTGCCGTTGGTGCCCACGCTCCTGCTCGTGGTGCTCTCCGTCGTGGTGCTCTCCGTCGTGGTGCTCTCCGTCGTGCTCTCCGTCGTGCTCTCCGTCGTGGCGCTCTCCGTCGTGCTCTCCGTCGTGCTCAGCTCCGCGTCCGTGGTGCTCTCCGTCTCGGGCAGGGCCGTCCCCGCGGCCCGAGCGCCTGTCGCGAGCAGCCGGTGTCACCGCGGGGGCCGAGCCGGAGCAGCGGGTGCCGGGATGGGGCGGGGGGGCCGCCGCGCTCACCG